GGTATATGAACAAGGATGATTTTACAGCATGCTTACAGTTGCAAGATATCAAAGTTTTTATCTTCCAGTTGGTGAATAGTTGAATAAATTATGGAATATTCACACTATGAATATTGCATACTGTCAAAAATGAATCAGAGCTATCTGTTTGTTTGGTGGTTCTTCCTCGAAGTATTGCTGAATAAAAAAAGAAAGATGCAGGAAACTGTATATAGTATGATCCCATTTTTATAAAACAATGATACATGCATAAGTGTGTTTGCATATATTTTAAATATGTCTGTCGATGGTGAATTGATTATGGAGAAAACATACAGGGTAAATAGGAGAATGTTAGAAAGTTACCTAGGGTGAAAGAATATGGTTGGTGCAAGCTGACATGGGTAACTTAAGAATGGTGGAGGGAGCCAAGCCCATCCAACCCGCCACCCAAAATTTTAAATCAGGGGCCTTTGGAACTTGACTCTCTTATCCTGTAGCCTAACCAGCCCCCTACCCCACAACTTGACTCTTCGCACCCATCCCTTGCCCATCCCTCCCACCACCTGTTATGCATGGCCTTCCATATTTTTCTCCATGACTCTAGAATGGGACAGCCAATGCACTGAAGGGAGGGGAAGGCTCAGAGGGTATGAGGGTAAGAGTACTTTTTAATGCATGAGAATGGACCTCTGGGTCTAGAGTGCAGCTCTTGCAAATTAATGGGAGTGAGGGGAAGAGGCTAGAAGGAATATTAATTCGCTCACTTCGCTTTAGTTCTCCTTCAGTCTCAGCTTACAGACTCCATCCTCAGCGAGGACTTCCAGGTCCACCCATTTCATCTCCCTATTATTTCCTCCTTATAACACTCATCATGAGTTGCCATATTGTCTTTGTGTGTGTGTGTGTGTGTGTGTGTGCATGCGACCATGTGTTTACTGCCTATTCCCACCCATCCCCCCAAAAAGCAGCACCACCAGGGGAGGGAGCTTGTATGAACAGCATAGTATGTCAATTGAATTAAACAATTTCCTACTCACTTATTCTTTTTTATTGACTCACTCTTTTATTTATTCCTTTATTCATTTATTCCCTTATTCATTCCAGAAACACGTTCTATTGGCCAATGACTTTTCCCCTGATCTGAATCTTCCACTTTCTAGGATGACTTTGGGGAGAGGGGGAGGCTGGGAGTGGGGACATGACTGCAGAATTCCGGGAATGCATCTACAACTTGGGAGAGCTGGGTGAGTGTAAAGCTCTCTAGGGAAGGAGGGAAGATTTCAAAAAGCATAAGGTGCTGGAGGATCAGAAAAGAGGACAAAGTTGGGAGTGATAGGGTGGAGGCTGGGCAGATGGAGACTTCTCTCTGCCCCCACCACCCCCAGGCCCGCATCTTCCCGCTGCCCAGCGTTTGCTCCACCAGGCAGAGGCTCTCCCCATCTCCACATGTTGAAATCCTACCCTTCCTTGCAGGGCCAGACCAGATGTCCTCGAAGTCTTCCTTTACTCCTCCAGCTGGAAGGGCCGCTCCCTGCTGCAAACAAACTTCCAAAGTCTGGACCTCCCTCGTGGTGCTGACCACTTCCTGCTTGTGCTATGGTGCGGCCCTTCCCTCTGCCCAATAGGCAGAGGCTCTGCCTGTCTGTTCCCAGGGATCTCAAGGGGCCCGGGGCCCAGGGCCCAGCACCAAGCGGATGCTCAAGCCTAATGTGTGAGCAGCATTGTACGTTCAGAGGGCAGTGATAATGACCCCATTGTACGGATGGGGAAATGGAGGCACAGATGCAGGGCATGATTTGCTTCCAAAGCAAAGCTGCAGCACAGCCTAGACTTAGCCTTGCATATCTGGTCCCAGGGGCAGGGCTCTTTCCAGGGCAGCTTAGTGGGAGGTGGGGGTAGGGTGCGGTGGGGTGGGAGCTGGGTCCTGAGAACCAGCAGGCCAGAGAGATTTGGAGTTCGAATGGCCAAGTTCAGGGAAAGCACAACTGGGGAGGAGCCAAGGTATTTATTATGCTTGGTCTCCAGCTCCAAACAGAGCTGATGGATGGAGCTGCTCCAGTTCCTATAAACAGCTTGGGCCTCCCTCCCCTCCATGTTCTCAGCACCACAGCCCCAGCTGATCCCAGGGAGTTGAGGGTGGAGGGGAGATGACTGAGGGAGGGGAAGGAGAAGAGGAGAGTGGGGGGCAAGTGGGGGATGGAGAAGAGAAGCCAGGGTCCTAGAGGCAAGAGGAACCAAGGGGAACTTGGATGGTGACAGAAGATTCCTCTTACCCAGAGCAGTCCCACTGGGTCTCCAGGGTCTGTCTGAGAAGCTTGTCACCCATTCTTGGTTTGATCTTAATCCTCACAAGACTTTAGGTCCTAGAGGGCAGGGCCATCCATTCAGGAAGCCTTTTCTTTGAACTTGCTGGCTCACGGGCCCCAGGGATACAGAAGGGACTCTGGGTAGGACCTCTCTCCAGGAGCTCCTGGTCTAGTTGGCAGGTCAGGCCGACACCCTGATGTAGCAGCCCAGGGCAGCCAGAGCTGTCAGTGGCTGGAGGAGGGAAATCAGGATAGTCTTCTCAGAGGAGGTGATGAGGGCAGGGGTTGAAAAGGAGGGGTTTGGCAAAGGGGTCAGGGTGGGTGAGACATTTTGAGGACAGGAGGTGGGAGAGAGCCGGCAGTTGGGAGGGTCAGGAGGCAGTGCTGCCTAATGGTTAAGATCGCTGGCTCCAGAGAGAAGTGGGGTGAACCTGGGTTCAGTCTCAGCTCTGGCACTTGATACCTGTGGGATCTTGAGTCTTGGTTTCTCTAAAGTGAGGATGACAATTACAGAAATGTTTTCAAAGCGTGTTAGAATTATCTTTGGCCTTGTACGTCAAGCATTCAGTGCAGACCCCAACCTGGAGGTGCTAATTAAGTGTCAGCTTGGAATAAGAGGTGGGAGGCGGCCAGATGGGGCTGGAGGGTTGCAGGGACCTGACTTGCAGGAACTGTGAGCTGCTAAACAGCAAGGGCACAGAGATCAGACAGTGGATCCTGGATTCCAGGGTGGGGGATTGAGCCAGCACAGGGAACCGGCAGGGTGCAGCAGCTGGTGGGCCAGGGCTGCTGGCTCCCCGCCCTCCCACCTGGCCTGCAAGGCTAGTCCTGCTGGGCCCTGGCCCTCGTGGAGTGCCGCAATGGCTCACTGGATCAAGTGAGCCTGGTGACCTGGCACTGCAGTCTGTCGGTGACAGGGGCTGTGCACTGGCCTCCTCTCTCTCTCTGGAACTTGCCGGATGCTCTGATGACCTAGTTGGCAGCTGAGTCCATGTTCAGCTGAAAACAGGAATTTCTGCCTTGCTGGGGGTCTTGGCCAGGTGAGCACACTCCTCTGTTTGCCAGGAAAAGAGGTCAGGGGCCTGGAGGCTCCCGCAGAGTTCTGGACTGAGCTCAGTCCGTGCTACTATCCTCCCGTGGGCCATCAAGGAGCATCTCCTGTGTGCCAGGGCGTCAAGTCACATAAATGCTCACCCTTCCCCCCCCGGCCCAAGCCTCAGCCATGAAATAGGCATTTCAATTTTTCCTTTGGAGAGTAGGAGCTGGGTGCAGGAACAGAGAGGTGAGAGGCCACAGCCCAGAGAAGAAGCTGGGCTGGAGAAATCTCCAGGGTACTTGGGGGGTGGGGGAGGCAGAGCTGGAGCCTGTGGGACAGAGGTGGAGAAGAGAAGGTTGGCACCTGCAGAGGGGGTAGTGTCTGGCTGTCAGGCAGCTGAGAAGGGGAGATGGAACCGCAGGAAGACAAGCACAGAGGGCTGCAAAGTGGGAGAGCCCGGGGGCCCACTCCCCGCCCTCTAGACTTTGCCTCAGTGCCCCTCGCCAGACTCCCACCCCCACCTCAGGGGGGTGACTCTTGTTGCTTCCCCTAGACCCCACAGTCCACACTCTCATCCTCCAACTCCCTTCTAAGAACCATGAATGCTCTTCTTCTGACCCCTCTTGATTCTTCCAAGTTCAACTTTGAGCAGCCTGGCTGCTCACTCTCAATCCTCCAGCCCCTGGGGTGACTTTAACTCTCTAGCTGGGGAGGCTTTTGGGTGTTGGGGTAGCAGGGCTGGATGCTCAGGAAGGCCTGGGGCTGGAGACAGAGATGTGGGCATCATCAGAGTGATGGGGCAGCCACATCAGTGAGTGTGATAACGTTCCTGAGAGAAGAGTCCTGCTGATCGCCATTCTGATGGCTTGAAGAAAATGAGCACACAGCAAAGCCTGAAAAAGAGTTGCCTGAGAGGAAGGCATCTAGGGTCCTAGATGTCAGGGGAGTGTCCCAGGGGGAGGGTGTGGGTGATCGGGGGATAGAGGCAAGGGGCCCCACTGTGGAGGGGTCAGGGAGGCATGGTCTGAAAAGTACCACCTTTGACCTCAGCCCTGGGTTGGGGAGATTGCTGGGGACAGCTGGAAGTGGCCTGGAATAGATTAGGATGGAGGGGAGGGAGAGGAAGCTACTTTACTGAGACGTTTACCCATGATGTCTGGAAAGGAAAGGGGAAAGTGGTTTAAGGGTCTTCATACTGTTTTTAAAATGGGCAAGACTTGAGCATAGCTGATATCTGCAAGGAAGACAGAAGCAGAGAGGAGAGGCTGAAAGGAGAGGAAAGTGAGAAAATAAATGAGTGAGAGAGGACAGGACATGCCCAGGGCTGCCTCTGGACGGGGTGGGGAGAGGGTACAGAGAAAGCACTTGAATGGAGCTGCAGAGAGAGAAAGGCGCTAACAAGTTCCTGCTGGAAGTCACCATTTTCTTCGCGGGTGGGGAGCAGGGTTTGCCGAGTGTGAGGAGACAGAGGTGTGGCAGGGACATGATGGTGGCTGAGGCACCAAGAGTCAAGATGGTGAGACCCACGGCCTCAGTCTCCCGCCCAGCAGTCCTCAGCCTGTCTCCCCAGGGGTCTGCCATGAGGCTTCAAAGGCTGGAAGGGAAGTAGAGGAGGGCAGGGTTCAAGTGGATGCGAAGATTCCCATCAGCAAGGAGGAGGCCGGCAGGCTGCACCATTTCTCTAAAATCATTTTTTAATACATTCATGTGGGTTACACAAAGAGTGGGTCCTGAGGCCTGGGTTGTGGCCTGGCTCCCAGGAGGTGAGAGCAGCATCGTGTAGTGTTTTCAAAGATCAGGCATGAAAAGGCCCATGCCTTGCCCTCAGGCCTGAGGAAGAGTGTTTGTGTGCAGTGAGCACCTGTGGTCATGATCCTGAACAGGACTGGACCCACCAGCTGCCCCATTCACCACCAGGGCCCCCAGCTGGGGCCAGGCCACCAGGCCAGGTTCTGGCCCTGCTCTGCCATGGACTCCCTGAGTCTCTGACCCTCTCTCAGCCTCAGTTTTCTCATCTGTAAAATGGGGTGGACAGAGGGCCATTTTCATCATCTCATACTTTACCGAGCACCATCATGAGCCTGAGTGCAGGCCAAGCACAGTAAGAAGGTGAAGACAATGACACAGAGTCCTAGGCTCATCCCAGGGCTTCCTTTGTCCCCAGACAGCCCACGATTCCATGGGTCATATCTGCATGGGATTTTTCTACGCATTTTTCTAGGGGGAAAAACTTCCCTGCATGAAGAGGACCAGAAAGGGAGGCTGGAGCCAGCATCATCTTGTGATGTGACAGCTGAGCGAGAGAAGGAAAACTGCCCAGGTCCAACCCCCAAGCCCCCCAACCCTGACTCCCTCAGTGAGGTCTGAATCCACCTTTTTTCACAGGCTCTGTCCTGACTTGAGCAGCTCTGAGCAAGTCCCATTCTCTTCCTAAGTCTCAGCTGTTCTATCTATGTACCAGGGAGGTTGGACTCAATGGTCTCAAGTTCCAGGCTATGCTCAACAAAGGGAGAGAGAGGGAGGGAATTCAAGGACTAGATGAGAAAAGGAGAGCCCTCCCAGTCAGCAAAGGATGGAATAAGAGAAACAGAGGCACAGAAGGAGGAGCACGCCTGTGGCTGCCTGTCTTCTCTCTGCCCGCCTGGAAGAAAGGAAGGAGAAGAGTGGGTGGGCGTGCCCAGATGCTCCCTGGCCCTGTTCCAGCCATATGGGGCCATTTCCTGTCCATCTTACAGCCTGCAGCCCCTGCAGTGGCCAAGCTCAGGCTCTGGACGCAGGAGGATGTGAGTCTGGAGCTCAGTTCTGGCATTTCTTAGCTAGCAATCCCTGGAGGGAGACTTTCAGAGCCTCTAGTTAAATGGGATAATATACCAACCTCAGAGGGTTGTTATAAAGAGGCCAACACAGGCTTGGGTTTGTCACTGCTGCCAAGTGTGGTGTAAAACAGAACCAGATACATAAGGGTCTTACTCCTGGCTCACCGGCCAGGGTGGGGCTGGGCTGGAGCAGTAGGCCTGAGCAGGGCCTGGACAGGGAATGGGGGGAGGGCTAGGGCAGTTATCTGGACCCCTGTGTGCAACCTGAGGGTGCCAGGTAGGAAAGTGCCTATTGAGAGTAGGAAACAAACCAGTCCAGTGCTGGGCCAGAGCCCAGGGAGACTGCCTCTTAACCAGACCCTGCCAGAGCTGCCGCAGCCTGCCTAACATCACTGGATCCAAGCCTTACTCAAGTGGCTCCAGCTCTCTTCCGGTCACAAGCTCTTCATGTTCCAGAGAAGCTGAAAGTCATTATCAGAAGATGTGACAAATAGTCTGCTTGGAAATGTCTCAGACGAATCCTCCTGGTCTTGCCCCTTTCTTGCCCTGGTCCAGCCAGGGCAGGACTATCCACATTCAGCCAGCTGGGGCTGCAGAACTTTGGAGCCCTGGCTGTCACACTCCACATGGTGACCGCACACTCTGCAACCACCTGCCCACCCAGACTGGGAAATGCTGAGGGCAGGGATGTGTCTCATACACCGGCACCCCCAGTGCCCAGGGTAGGGTGTGGCATAAAACAGATACTTGGCAAAGATCTGAAGATCTGATGGGGTCAGCCTTACACTTCATCACTCCTGAAACTGCCCAGCTTCCGGCTTCCACAGCTGGACCCCATGATGTGCGGCCTGAGAAGTGGGTCACCTACTGGTGCAGCAGGACACCGGGAAAGGAGCTCTGGGCTGGGACGGAGAGACCAAGGGTCTTGGACCCTGGCTCACTGTGTGATCATGGGTCAGTCCCCACTCTTCTCCGTGCCTCTGGCTCCCCCACTGCCCCAGCAGGGTCTCCCGACAGAGCCCGTGTGTGGCCTCCAAACTCTCTAGGCTTTGTACTGTTGGCTAAACTTCTGCCGGCGCACACAGCAGCAGGTGGCCAGAGTGGTGAGCAGGATGGCAGACACCACTGCGAAGGTGAGAATGATGATGAGGTTGACATTCTTGAGCCCCCCCTTCTCACAGTCCTCGGGACGCACGTGACTCAGGGACACCTCCTCCTGAGAGCCAAAGCGGCAGATCAGGTCCTGGGTGGCGTCCACATCTACTCGGCCCTGGTGCAGCTGGGCCGCCAGCCAGCCGTTGCCGCAGCAGCTGAGGGGGTTCCCCTGTAGGTAGAGGCGCCGCAGGCTGTTCTCCAAGCCTCCCATGGCACTGCCTGGAAGGAGGCTGAAGCTGTTGTTTCTCAGGTCCAGCACCTCCAGGGACACAGCCTGTGTCCAGGCAGGCAGGCGGCTCAGGCGGTTCTCGGCCAGATTGAGCCGCTTGAGGCAGCTGAAGCAGGGCAGGTCCACCTGCAGGACGTCCAGCCCATTGCCCTGCAGGGCCAGGACCTCCAAGGAGCCCTCCAGGCCCGCCAAGGCCCCTGGGGCCACATCCAGCCCAGGGTTAGAGGAGAGGTCCAGCTCGGCCAGTGGCGTGTGGAGGAAGGCACCCGCCCGCAGTATCTCCATTTCATTGTCCGCCAGGTTCAGGACACGCAGGGAGGAGATGCCAGAGAAGGCCACGCAACCCGAGGGTCCAGGCTCAGCTGGGCCCCCGCAGGGGCTGAACCGGTTCCCCTGCAGGTTAAGTCTCTGCAGACTGGCCAGGCTGGTGAAGGTGTACGGGGGCAGGTCCCGCAGGGCGTTGTCCTGTAGGAGCAGCGTCCGCAGGGACCCCAGCGCCCTGGCGCCCAGCTCCAGCGTCTCCAGCGCATTGTGGCTGACGTCCAGGAGCGTCAGGCAGGGCAGGGAGCCCACGGGCCGGGCCTCAAAGGCCCGCAAGCAGTTCCGGCTGAGGTTCAGGGACCGCAGGGAGGTCAGGGGCTCAAGAAAGCCCTCCGGGACGAGCTCAATCTCATTGTAGCTCAAATCCAGATTCAAGAGCTGGGAGAGGGGTTGGGTGCTGGCATTGCTGCTGGGGTTGGAGAGGGGCAAGGCTGACCAGCCCTCGGAAGGCGCATGGAGGCCCTCGCCTCCACCCCGAGGTGGCTCCGCAGGGAGCCGGATGAGGTTGTTGGACGCGTTCAGGTAAATGAGTCTCGGGAGTGAGCTCAGGTCGGGGAAGTGGAGCAGTTTGTTCTCCCGCAGGTCGAGCCAGGCAAGCTGGTACTCGGCCCGCGGCTCCGGGGCCGTCTGAAAGGCCTCGATACTGTTGCAGCTCAGGTCCAGGACGCGCAGCTGCTGGAGGCTGAAATCGGAGATGCAGGTAAGGGAGTTTCTGGAGAGGTTGAGGTGCACCAGGCGGGGCAAGGCCTCAAAGGCGCCGTCCTCGATGTCCATCAGCACGTTGCTGTGCAGGTCCAGCTGCTCGAGGGCGGGTGTGCCCCAGAAGGTATGGCGGCCCAGGCGCGTCAGGCTGTTCTCCGCCAGGGAGAGTGTGCGCAGCGCGGGCGCCTCCCCCAGCAGTTGTTCCGCCAGGCCGCTGTATAGGCTGTTCCCCGACAGGTCCAGGGACGTCAGGCGCTGCAGGGGGCCCAGTCCCCCAGTGTTCAGCGCCGTGCCCACCGCCAGGCGGTTGTGGGCCAGGTTGAGGTGTTCCAGGTGGGGCAGAGCCTGGAAGACCCCTGGCTGGAGGAAGCTGATCTCGTTGGCGCTCAGGTCCAGGTGACGAAGTGCCGTGTACAAGCCCAGGGGCAAGGCTAGGATGCTCCGCAGCTGGTTCCCAGATAAGTTGAGGACCTCGATGTCCCGCGAGAGCATTGAGGGGACCTGGAGCAGGCCACGGCCCTGGCACCAGACCTCCTTGTCCACCTAGGGAGGGTGGGAGGGCAGGGAGAGCAGTGGACATTAATGCATGCAGTAGGAGGTAGAACCAGACACTCGCCTCTAGGAAGGATGACTTGAGCTCCCACCAGGCGTGGCTCGGCCTCTGTTCTGTCCTCCCAGCATGATTCAGGTCCTCCACCCCAGCCTAATCCCCCTAGGTCTGCATGATCCCTACCCTGCTCCCTGCCGCTGTCTTTGGTACACAGTACAGCAGTGCTACCATCAGGCAAGACTCAAGGAAGCTTTGATAGATAGACCATACATATGATAGACAGAAGGAAAAATGTACCAACAAAAAAATTCTGTACTGATTATTATCCTAATTTACAGGAAACTAAGCCATATATCATTTAGAGTTACCCAGAGCCAGTGAGGAGCAGGGCCAAGCTGGGACCCAGGCCTCCTTGTTCCACATCCCAAGTTCCTTCTATGGACCCAGAGAGTTAAACTTACCCAGCTGATGTCAGATTAGAAACCACTTTGGGAGAAATGTTTCCAAAAGGGAAAAATGCTCTTTCCACTCTAGTCCTCTGTTTTAATTGTGGCCCCTCACCCTCAGATCTCATTCAAACCCTCACTCCATAGGGCACAGCTCTGGTCCCAGAGCCTGCCTTCCTTGCTGACACTCCCTAGATGTGACCTCTTTCCCGCTGCCCCATCTACCCCCACCCCACCCTACCCCATCAGTGGCTTCAGTTCCCATGGTCCAGTCCAGATGGGCCCCCCAGAGATGGGGTTGGGGCAGGGGAAAAGATGACCAGAGTCCCAACCCATATTCTTTGTTGACAAGACTGATTTGGCTGTGTGAGCTCCATCTGGTTCTGATCCAGAATGTAACTCATCCTTCCCCAATGCCTATTCAGCATTTTATATTTTATTTCGCATTTTCAGACCCATGGTCTCATCGGATTGTCATGGTAACCTGCCCATCAAACATGATCACCCCTCTTTAAGAAACCCAAGCTCAGAGAGGGAAAGAGAGGGTCTAGGATCACCCCGCTGGTGAGGAACAGAGCTAATAGCTTTTGAACCCCAGCCTCTTAACAACCAAAGACCCCACTTTTGTCCTCTACCACATGTGCCTTCAGGGGCCAGAATTCCTTCCATGTGAATGCAGTCTCCCGCTGTCATTTCCGGCACACCAGGAACCCCAGCCTTTGCCAGCAAAGGCTCTGACTTCCATAAGCACCCAGCTCAGGCCCACTACACCCCAGCCTGTCTGTCTCCACTGACCCCTTCTGATAGGTCTTCCAGCCAAATGCCTGGCAACTGCTCAGAAACTCTACTCTGACCACGCTGCCCTTGACTTAAACCCCTTCCAGGCAGAGCCAGGACCCTCAGCAGGGTTCAATGTTGTTTGTGGTCCCTGCTGATCTCCCAACCCACCCTAGCCCAGCCCACACCTGACCACACCCCACTGTGCCCTCCCACACCCACCTCTCAGCCTCCCTCCTGCTGCTCCGCCAGCTGGTTGTGCTCTGCCGAACCAGATCAGGACCATGACCTCTGTGTGCTGAGCACCAGGGTCTCCTCCACCTAGGAGACTTCCCTGAATGCCGGGCAGGTCGGGGCCTCCTCTGGGCTCTCACAGATCCCTGTGACTATCTGAGTGCGGACTGGCTAGAAAGTGAGCTCAGGGCAAAGGGTTTGATTGAGTGGATATTTGGACCTGGCCTTTCTGAGCACCAGAAAGTGCTCAGTACATTTTTCAGTAGATGAAACACATCATCAGCTTAATACAGGTCTGAGGGACTGACTCAATCACCTTTCTGAATGATAAAGAAAAAGGATGATCCATTCATTCAGGGTTTCCCAGGTGGCGCTAGTGGTAACGAACCCGCTTGACAATGCAGAAGATAGGGTTTGATCCCTGGGTTGGGAAGATCTCCTGGAGGAGGAAATGGCAACCCATTTCAGTATTCTTGCCTGAGAAATCCCATGAACAGAGGAGCCTGGCAGGCTACAGTCCATGTGGTCCCAAGAGTCGGACACAACTGAAGCAACTTAGGATGTACATCCATTTATTTAGACTAGAGTCAAAGACTATTAGAACGCAAAGGGTTCAGCCCACCCCCTTCCCAGATGGGGAGACCAAGCCTAAAGATGGCAGTAACCTGAATGAGGTCACAAGTCAGCAGCTGGGCCGACAGGGTCGGAACACAGCCTGGGTGTTCCCTGCCTGGCCCAGCCCTCAGCTTCCTCCCAAGAGACCAAGGTAGGGGGAGGGATGGGGGGAGGAACCGGCTGTCTTCCATCAGGCATGTGTGACTCTTCCAAGTCCACATGGCACAGTGACCGGCATTCCTCAGAGGCCCAGGGACAACCCCTGCCATTGGGTGCCAGTGCAAGCTAGAATCCTCATACTCCAGCCACCTTGCCAGACCTGCCTGGCTCCTTGCTCCCTCCTCCCTCACAACCTCCCTGCCAGCTGGGGCTACTGGGCATAGACTCCTCATCCATATTCTCAGCTCCCTGAACCATCCTGATCAAAGAAGAAACAACAAAATGAACACAGACATAACGTGTGTTGTGTGGGGTGGGGAACGCCTACCCCATATGTAAGCCCAGCCCCATTTCACCTCTGGATACTCAAAGGTTCCCTGGGGCACCAGCCCCTGAGAGCTGAGCCAGGACATAAAACTAGCCCAGTCCAGCACCCAATCCTGCTTTCTGCCCAGTGCCCAGGACCCCTGTCACAGAGGCCCAGAGTGGGCTGCCACGAGGCAGGACTGCTCAGCTCTCCAGTTCAGCAGTTCAGTCCAAGAAGGAGCTTGAAGACCAGGGCAGCTCTCAGGACACCATTTGTGGGGCACCCACTGCTCCCTGATCTCTGAGCCCCCAGCAGGAGTGACTTATGTGGGGAGGAGTCTTGGGAGCATTCGACCTTAGTCAGGTTCAGAGCTTCCCCTGATGACCCCCATCCACTCTCTATGATATGCCAGGATGCCATTGCCCAGCTTCTTTTTTTTTTTAGGAGGGGAGGGAAGAGGGTGCCACTCAACCCCGTCATACTGCCTGCACACAGAAGGGAAGCAGGGCAGCGAGAATCAGCCTGCAGTGGACAGCATGAACTCGGCAGGGAGGGGTCCAAATCCTGGCTCTGTTACTTCCTGTCTGTATGACCTTGGGGCCACATCCCTTCTCTCAGCCTTAGTTTCCTCAGCTGAAAAGAGTAGTTCTGGGCAGGACAAAATGAGAGATAGTCCTTAGTGTAGAGCAGGCCCCTTGCTAGCCCTTGGCATGTGGCCATTTCTGTTTACTACTGAAAAGCATCATAATGCCTTCCGTGGGGGTTCAGAAAGTCCTTTCCTGCCTGTTATCTCCTTTGCCCCAAATCCAAAGCTCACCCAGGTCCCCTCTGCCTGTTGGGTGGCCCAGACCCTTCCTCCCTCTGAGCCTTCTGCCCCAGGTAGGATGTGGGGCTGCACATGGTGACATCTGAGTCCCTCTCTGCCTGTTATTCTGGGTTCTGGGAACCCTGGAAGGGCTCCAAGGAGCACAAGTGAGGTGGCGACAGCAGACACTGCAAACCCCAGGCAAGTGCTACTGGCCCTGGCTGCTAGCACAGGCACCTCCAAAAGCAGCTGCCCACCCTGTGTCACAAGGGCTTCCCCGGTGGCTCAGCAGTAAAGAATCCGTCTGCAGTGTAGGAGATGCAAGTTCGGTCCCTTGGTTGGGAAGATCCCCTGGAGAAAGGAAATGGCAACCCAGTCCAGTATTCTTGCCTGGAAAAATCCCAATCCGTGGGGTCACAAAAGAGTCAGACATGACTGGGTGACTAAAACACCAGCTCTGTGTCATGAGCTTCCAGTCCCAGGATCAAATGAGGCTACTGGAGGGCCTGTCCCTTCCCCAGCCCAAGCTCTGGCCTTGACCTCAGTGATTGCCCAGCCTTACAAGTAGACTAGATAATCTCTTTTCTCTGTACCCCATAGGGTCACAGTAACCTCAGAGCTAGCTTCCCTGACTCCAGGCAGGAAAACAGGACAAAGTGAATCAAACTTTGTCACTGCCCTTGAGGAACTCTTGGTCTGGTAGATGAGTCAGGTGTGGACCAATTTACCAACCACCCCATCTGCTCAGTGTTGAGAAGGAGGAAGGCTTAGGACTGTGGGAGCCCAGAAAAGGGATGGCCTGGGAAGGGTCAGGGAAAGCTTCCTGGAGGAGGCAGCCTTTTGACCTGGGCAGTAACAAATGAGAGGCATCACAGCAGGAATACGGCAGTTCGGCCCAAGTTAAGGAGCCCAGTTAGGGAGGAGATTTGTCCCCAGGAGGGGCCCAGAACAGAAGAGTCTTTCCCAGCTGCCCACCCCAGGTTCCCCACACATATACATATTCTTCAGGACTTCACAGGTGGTGCTAGCAGTAAAGAACCTGGCTGCTAAGGTAGGAGATGTAAGAGACGTGGGTTTGATCCCTGGGATGGGAAGATCCCCTGGAGGAGGGCATGGCAACCCACTCCAGTATTCTTGCCTGGAGAATCCCCATGGACAGAGAAGCCTGATGGGCTACAGTCCATGAGGTCACAAAAAGTCAGATACGACTGAAGTGACTTAGCACGCACGCACACATATTCTTCAGCCCCAGCTGGACCCACTGCCTTGTGGGGGCGGCTTGAGGAAATAGAGTCCCTACTGGCCTGAAGTGAGTGACCTCGGACAAGTTGGCTAACTTCTCCAAGCTGGTTTTCAATTCTCTAAAACTGGAATAATTATACTTACCTGGCAGGATTAATAGTAAACAAGGCATTTAGACATTCTAGTAGGTGTTCATTAAATGTGAGGTTTAATGGCATTAAATGGATCCCCTCTCCTCTTCTGAGCCCTCTAGCCTCCAGCTTCTGGGGCAGTAGGACGCCCGGGGGGCAGGGGATATGAGGAGCTCTCCCTGATGAGGCAGAGCATCTTACCTTCCTACAGGGCACCTTGTCTCGGTGTTGGGAGGTAGCCAGGCCCAGGGTCAGCACGGCCAGAAGCAGCAGAATCTGGTGGCTCATGGCTCTGCACAGGGCGGGAGGAAAGGGGAAGATGGTTAAGACCGCAGGCTCCTTGCCACTGCGGGCTCCCACCACCCCCTCCTGTCTGCACCTGCCCTCAGGGAACCCCAGACCACAGTGGGAGCTGGACTGAAGGTGCTGTGAATGGGGCACCTTGTGAAGGTGATGGGAAACAGGGCTGCAGCCCGTCACAAAGGGCCTTTGGTGCCAGGTGGCGGAGCTAAGCCATTACCTTGGACAAGGGTTTTTAAGCAGGGGGTGATAAGATCAGATTTGGGTTTCAAAAGGCCCCATCTGGTGGAAGACAGCCTGGAGGAGGTGAGCCAGAGGCAGACAGACTTTAAGGGCTGCCCTGGACCAAGTTCAGGGCTGGGCCTCTGACTCCAGTTCCACACAGGCTACAAGCAGTTCCCCGCATCTTAGCTCTTCAAGTTCCAAACGGAATTCCTCAATCCCCCCACCCGCAGAACTTTATTTTGCCCTTTCTCTTTTGATTTTCTGATCCCCAAGTCCCTGCCATTGTTTTAAGGCTGGGCCTGGAGCCTTGACAGGAAGCCCCGCCAGGAGGCCTGCCCTGCCCCCAGCACTGTGGCCCGTGGACTTCCCCAGGAACAGGCTGCCAGGCCCTTAACTTTCACTGAAGCCACCGCCTACACAGTGGGACACCCAGGCCTGCTGGGCCAGCCCTTCTCTCTATGAGCAGCCTGGTTGAGGCTGAGGGGGACCACAAAGGCCCCAGCCGGGTCGCATCCCAGGGCTGCTAGGTGCTCATTCACGGAGAACCTGGGCCAAGTGCTAGCAACACACAGCTCAGTTCGTCAATTTCATTCATGCATTCATTCATTCACCCACACCTTTACTGAATGCCTCTTCATGTCTGACTCTGTACTGGGAACTGGGGACACAGATAAAGGCCCAGAAGTGACCATAATATAAATACATACAAAACATTAACAAAGAGAGACACATAATGCTCTCCAAGAGCACTGGACTCAGAGTCACCCACACCAGACTGCTTCCTCTGTCTCCTTCACTTACCTGCTGTGTGACTTTGTACAAGTCGCTTTACCTCTCTGAGCCTCAGTTTCCTCTTCTGAGGCTAATGCCAACCTCGCCAAGTTTTGTTAAGATCAAATGAGACGTATTCTATGAAAATGTCACACACAGAGCTCTCATATACTAGGCACTCTTCTTGACACTTTACAGCTATGAACTCATTTACTCTTTCCAATAATTCAATGACTTGGCTTCATGATCACCATTCCCACTGTGCAGACAGGCAAACGGTGGCTCAGAAAAATTAAGCAACATGCCCAAGGTCACACAACTCACAAGTGACAGACCCAGGAAGTTAGGTTTCTGGATCTGTGCACTTAACCTCTATGCTATAAGGTCTCCTGCAGGTGCTCAATAAGTAAGTACTGAATTGTGAATCTGAGGGATACTTTATTTATTTATTTATTTATTTATTTATTTATTTATTTTTGAGGGATGCTTTAGAAGATGCATTTATAGAACCTTTATGGGCTGCGTCTTTACTGTTAGAACCCATAAACATCCTTGCTATGAATTGTAAATGACGGCGGGTGCTCTGAGGTCCTTCCTTGTTCAGATAGGCAAAGAACGCAGTGGTGTCTTTTAAGCCCTGCTCCCCGGGTTCCCCCGGGGCCATGGGCCCCCTGCCCCACAGCTGTTCTCCCTCTCACCTGCGTTACAGGTTGGGCTTTCACAGGAAATTCTGTTCTGCTGTTTAAAAAGCAGAACATCACCACCCTTTTGAAAGCCAGTATACTCGGAATTGAGTGGAAACCCCTCAGCAGGGCCTTTGAGGCCCTTGAGGAGCCTGCCTGCCTCACCAGCTCTGCTCTCCAGCTTCATTTCTCACTGTCCCTTTTCCTATTCTGTGTTCTGGAAGCCTTGGATCCCCTTCAGTTCTCTAAGCATCTTTTCACTGCCCCTAACCTTCACTTCCTCCCCTCTATTGTGCTTAATACCTCCTCATTCTTTGGGTCTCAGCCTAGATGTTACCTCCTCCAAGAAGCCTTCTCTGGTTCTCCAAGTCTGGGCTATATACTGGCGCCAAGCATTCCATCCGCCCCTGGTTCCCTTCCCTTGACCCCACCACCTCCCCCCCCATCACCATGGGACGTGTCCCCAGGGCAGAGGGGCCTTGCTCTTCACTCGGACCCATCTCACACTGTGCAGGTCGGGGAAGGAACTGAGAATGCACACGCGGTGCCTCGGTGACACGGCAGTTTCTCTCCTGGACTCTCCTTTACCTCCCTGCCACACTCCCTCCCATCATCAGCAGGTTCTGTCCGCTCTTCCTAAAAAAAAACAGGCTCTGGATCTGCCTACCACCCCACAGACGGAGGCACCACCATGACCTCGGGCCTCAACCCCAGCAACACCTTGTTCCCACCCTGATCTCTTTCAGTCTGCCCTAAGCACAGTAGCCTGAGTGATGTCTTTAAATCATGTATCAGACCATGAATCTCACTGCTTGAAAACCTCCCATCAAGTCCAGATGTACACAGTCTGCTCTCTGACTCCATCTACCATTTGCCCTTCCCTCACCGAGTCCTACCTTTCTCGCCATTCCTCAAGCAAGTGCCCTCCTGCCTCAGGGCCTTGGCCCTGCTTGCTCCCTCCACCTCCCTAGATCTGCATGTGTTTTACTATTTTCCCTGTATTGGTTGTTTCCTAATAGTTTATTTCTTATTCTGAGAACAGGGATCTAATAAGCAGTGCTCACTAAAGATCTATTGAATAAACAGCAAAGTGAGGGGTAGCAGTCCACTGCAAAGGGCTGAGTGTTGAGTAAGGATAAGGTAGGTAAGGATAAGGGAGGACCTGGGTTAGTTCTGAACCTTCCCAAAGAGGCTCTTGTTTCCTGTTCCCCTGCCAAATCCCATCCTATCTCCCAGGTGGGCACCTGAGCATCCAGGGGGGCCCTTCCCTGCAGCACGTGGAACTCTGCCCTGCCATCCAAAGGAGAGGGGCCCCTTGATGGTGGGCACCCTTCAGAAGTGCCCAGACACAGTGTGTAGAATTTGAGAGCTACTCGCTCTCAAGAGGGAGGACAGGGATCACTGAGACCCAGGCTCCCATCCTGACTCTACTGCTCACCAGCCCTGCACCCTGGGGCACGTCCCTTCACCTTTCAGGGTCTCCATGTCCCATCTGTAGAGCAAGTAGCCTGGTTCCTGTTTAGCCACTGTTTGCCCCCAGTGGTTGTGATGATCAAGCAGAGAATGGCTGTGAAGGTACCCTGGACACACATTGTCTTTCCCAGTGGGGACAAACTTGCAGGGCTGAGCAGCCCAGGCGTGGCGAGGAGTGCTCAAAGGGAAGGCCCCTAGCCTGCAGACAAGTGGCCCAGGGAAGAAGAGGCCAGAAACATCTTAGGACTCTGGGAGGAGAAGTGCCAAAAAAATAATGTGTACGTGTGTGTGAAAGTGTGTGTGTGAGAGAGAGAGGGAGAGAGAGAAATGAGGTGGAGAGGCGCTACCAATGTTAAGCCCATCTTTAGTGTTTAAGGATGTTAGATACTCTTCTTAGCACTTGACATGTATCATTTAATTCTCACAACAACCCAATGAAGCAGTTACTATAATTTCCATTTTACAGATGAGAACACTGAGACTCAGAAAGGTGAAGTGACTTACCCCAGAGTTACCCAGCTCATGAGTGTTTGGGGATTTAGCCCAGATCTGTGTGTTGTGCGTTTTTCAGCAGGTGTTGAGCTGCCTGCCTCCTAGAGAATTTGCCCAAGAGGAAAACCAGGCTCAGGGAGATGACTTACCCAAGGTCACATAGGCAGTAAATAGCAGAGTCAGGATTCAGAATCCAGTCTGTCTGCCTCCTAAAGCAAGTGTTTCCACAACACCAGGCCAAGATCTCCTTTCTAGCCCACTCCACACATCCCCCAACCCCAACACACGCAGCAGCAGACAGGCTCACAGTGCCAGCCGGGCTTCGGGGTGCTCCTGGGTGCTCCTCTCCCTCCTCTCAGCCTGGATCACGGCAGAGTCGGGTCCTGGGAGTGCTGCTGTGGATGTTCCCAGCCAGCAGTGAATCACTAAGGGCAAGCCCCGTTCTGGAGACATGTGCAGCCCACGGGGGAATTAGACCTTAACCCAAAGGAATGTGTCTGTGATGGCGGAATTTCAAGCAGCTGAGGGTGGGGGTGGGGGGTCCCTCACGTCCTACCACCCATGAAGAGGGCTGGCTGTGGAAACCCTAGGAGAGAGGTGGGTGCCTCACCCTCTGCACCCCTAGAGATGGGCAGGCTATCTGGTGCGGTGGGATGGGAAGACCCACACACCCGCTACTCCCCACCCCCCGCCCCCCACGCCAGGGTTAGAGGGCAGTAGGAGACCAGAGACAAATCCTGAACTGCCCTTGACTAGCCTGTGTTTTCCCTAGGCAAGTGCCGGCCTTTCTGCGGTTGTTTTCCCATCTGTCAAATGGGAACGCCGGCCTCGCCCTGCCCTTCGCGGGAAAGATCCGCTGAGCTAGGAGCCTGGAGCCGAGGCAGGGTCAACCCTGGCCCCACGCACAAAGTATTGGTTGGGGTGGGGGGTGTATTGCTGAGGATCAGTGTCTCGATGAACCAGCCCCAGCCCAGCTCGGCGCCGGCTGCTCGAGAGGGGCTCGGGACCGCCAGTTCCCCGAGGGGCCGGCCAGCCTCGCCCGCTGGGCGGCTCCTACCTGGCTCAGCGCGGCCGCCGCTCCTCTCCCGGGCAGCCCCGGCACATTTTGCGCAAACCTGCCCTCCCCGTCCCACCCCGCGCCAGACCCCGGGGTCACGGCCCGAGGAGGCGCACGGCCGCTCCACCGCCCCACGGGAGCCTAACCCACGAGAGGGCGACTGGGGCTCCAATTTAAATACCTCTCCCGCCGACCCGCCCCACCACGCCCCCCCCTTGGCCCGGCCGCGGGGTCCTAGCGCCCGGCCGGCGCGCCCCCGCGTGACTCGGTTTATCCGGAACCCGCAAGGGGAGGAAGCATTATCTCGCGTCCGAAACCGCGAGGCTGGGGAGGGGCGGGTCGAAGAGGGCAGGATGAAAGGACGGGGAGGGAGAAGGGTCCATAAGGAAGCGCTGTGCCACCGAGGCGGTGCCCAGGCCGCCGCACGTGCAGTTCGTGGCCCCGCGGGGTCCGGAGGGGCGGGTGGCTCTAGCAGCCGCAGGTCCGCAGAGGAAATCCGGCCTGGCCCCGATTTCCCCCGCTGTTGGCGCCGCCGCACTTAGGGGAGGCAAACAGGAGAGGTGACTGCGGGGCTGAACACGGAAGGAAATGACCCTTCACTGGCCCTGGGGTGGCTAGAAAGGGGGTTCCCCCACACCGCAGCCATCCCCTCTGGTGGGTCCACAGTCCCCTCTCTGGATTGTGGTGTGGTGTTCAGAGCCTCCTCCAGCGGCTCCTGGACCCTCAAGCAGCTGTGAAAAGGTACCATCTTAAGTCTCCAGAATTCCGGTGGAGAAACAAGTTAGGGATGGGGTCGTCGAGTATAAATAAAAATCACCTCTCTGGGACTAGTAAGGTCCCCATTTGGGGAAACTGAGTCTCAGAGAGGTTAAGTGGCACGTCCAAAGTCACACTGACTATAAGAGACAGGGATTTCAGCCCAGTCTTCACAAAGCTAGCTGTGCTGTGCTTAGCTGCTCATCCATTGCCTGTCTCTGCAACCCCAGGGACTGTAGCCCACCAGGCTTCTCTGTCCACGGGATCCTCCAGGCAAGAATACTGGAGTGGGTTGCCATGCTCTCCTCCAGGGGAACTTCCCAACCCAGGGCTAAGCCCTGACCAAACTGGATCCCCGTTTCCAGCACCGTCTTACTCAGGTTGTCTTCAAGTGCTATTCAAAAAGTAGCACTGTGGTATCATTGTCTTTTACACATCTTCCCCAAAGCCACCTCCTCTTCTGGATGCCTCGACCCTGCCAAATCACAGCTGCCCTGCCCTACTGAGTGTGGACCTGAGGGAGGGGTGCCAAGTGGAAGAGGGTCACAGCTATCCTCCAGACCCCAGTTCTGAGGGTAGTAGAGGATTCCTCTTCCACAATGTTTCCCTTCCGTGATGGTCACCAGCCCTGAGAGTAGCACAGGGTGTCCCATTTTACAGATGGGGAAGGGACCACCCAAAGCCTTGTGGTAAATCAGGATGAAGCTGGACTTAACAAGCTGAGTTCCTTGAATTCACAATGGCAGCTGCCTTTCCTTCCTCCCATCTGACTTACTGTGGGTACAGGCCTGGGCAGATGGGGACAGCTCAGAGATGACAATCTGTGAGCAGTAGGGGAACAGGGTGGGGATGGGGCAGGGCCTAACACAGACTCAGAGGAGGAGATCGGCAAAGCTTTGCTAAGAGGGGACCTGAGCTGCTAGGAGAGCGTGGTACAGGTCACAGTACCTGGGAAGGGTGTCCACACCTTCTCCTTCCTCGCCACCAGGAACCTCAGATCTATGCTGACTGAGAGCCCTGTTGGTCATCACTAATATTTCCCCCTCCTACCCCCAGCGCTAGTCCTCATCTCATCCAATGGAACCTCAGTTTCCCCATGAGTAGAGTGAGAAAGATAGTAGCTTCTTCTCAGGTTGGTGCCTAGACTAAGAATAACGGACCCAGCCTGGGGCATGCACCCAGTGGTTGTTAGGCAACTTCTGGCTGTCTTTATTTTGCTGATTAATGATGCTTCTGCCACTCCCTGTGGGCTTCCTTTTCCAGATCCTTGTCCAAGGGGCCAAATGCCCAGGAAGTGCCTCACAGCAGCCCTGCAGCATGGGCAGAACATGGCAGAGCTGGAATCAGAGAGTTCTCAGGCTCTCCCACCCAACCTGTTCCCCCCACGTCCAGCGCCACCTCACTCTTCTCTGAGCTGCTGCCAAGCAGAAACCACTGGGCTGGCACAGAGCTTTGGCTGGGGCTGGGGTAGGGCGGGGCTGGGGCTATGGCGGGCTGGGGGAGAGCCACTCTCCTCCTCCCACACACCTCCAAAGACTGTAGTTGTGGTTAGTCAGTTCACAGGGGTCCACCTCACTCAGTGCCTAGATGGGCCTCCCCAGGAGTTGGAGACAGATGGGCAACCAAGCGAGCCTACCCACTGCAGATGCCTCTGGGGACCAGGGCCTGAAAGTGGGAACCCCATGTGCTCAGCGCCCCTTCATCTCTTCACGTCTTCAGCGGTCACATTGCTGTGTGACTTTTGGCACATTGCTTGATCTTTCTGACCTCAGTTTGCTGATCTGCAACATGAGAATAATAGTAACATCTGATGTTCTGTCTTATTGTGAAGCCCAAATCGCAGAAACGTGTGTAAACATCTGATGGGGGCCTGGCCTGTGATCCTAGCCCAGGAAATATAACCTCCCTTCTGTGGCAGGTCCCAGAGTCAAAATGTCCAGGACCTACCCTTGTAGGACCCCCAGACCAGATGGGAGGCAAATGAGAATGTAGGATGATGGAATCCAGAAGACGCACAGGCCAAGTCCGGGAGTCGAAACTGGATCTGAAAGGGAAGGATAGGGTGGGACTGAGCGGGGTCAGATTTTCGTGGCAGCCGTGTGGAGGGTGGCTTTCTTTTAAAGGCCACCAAAGCCAACATTCCATCCAATGTTGCTTAGTACCTACTTGCACCCCTCCAGCAATTCTCCTAGACAGCCCTTCCAAGGGAGGCTCAACTTCAGTGTGTTGGTATTTTTGTGGAAATGCTTCTGTTCCCTCAAGCATCTGTCAGTGAAGATAGGAGACACATCTTTTCTTGTGTCTCTAGGACTACCATTCTGAGATGAGAAAACTCTCCCAGGCACCAAGGCAGGCTCAAAGTTCCCTGGGAGGGTTTCTGAGACCAAACTGATACCTGAGGATCCCAAGTAGGAGTGAATGGCCCAGGCAGGCAATGATGTGCACAACCTGTGTGACCTTGGACAAGTTGCTAAACCTCTCTGAGCCTTTCTGGCCTCATCTAACCATAGAAATGGGATGGGAAGGACTGTGGCACCCTGGACCCCCAACTTAGTTTCTTCTGCCCTTTTTACTGAACCCCCACTGCAGGCCAGTCCTTCATCTCCTGTGGCAAATGGGGGTAAAGACAACCACAGACAGCCTCAGGTGTCTTTAGTCTCAACTACTGACTTGGAAACTGAGGCTTAGAGAGGTTAAATAACTGGCCTAAGTCACACAGCTTGGTAACGAGGAATTGAACCTGAATCTCCAGACTCCCAGACCAGATTTCAGTGCAAGAGTGTGGCTCTCCTCACTCTCGGCCCTGCCCAGCACCTCTGTGGGCCCTGGGGAGTCAGGGAGTTCCCTCATCAGCCCCTTTTGGGGCCTTGCCTTCTGTGGGAAAACCCTGGGTTCCCCAGTTCTTCTTTGCCCAGCACCCCCTTGCTCTCTAGGGCAGCTAGGCTTAGAGCATACCAGCTATGGGCCAGCCCATAGGGACACCCCATAGGCCACCCCCCAGAGGGACAGTAGGATAGGAGAGAAAATACTGGTGGGTGTCAGCTGTAGGAAGTTTGTGAGCCAAAAGACAACATAGGGTGCTTCGGAAACAAATCCTGATAAAGAGACAGCTGGAGTGTCCCATCCTCCGAGAACTAGCCGACGTGTTTAACGGGAATAACGAGGGCTTGCAGGACCGGGCGTGGTGCCAGGTACTTTACTTGTGTCGTCTCCTCCTCACAGCCACCTGACGAAAGGAAGACAATGGTTGCTCCCTTTTTACAGAAGAGAGACCGAGGCTCAGAGAGATCCTGTGACTTGCCCATGGTCACACAACTAGTAGGGTGGGGCATGGCAGCCCTTCCCATCGAGTCCTCAGACTCCAGGGCCCCTCTTGCGTGGCCAGCTTGGCTGCTTGTCTGCTTGGAGCCATCCATGCAGGGGAAAGCAGGTGCTGGGAGCACCCTGTATACCCCATGGCCACCACACAGGAGGCTCCTGGCTCTAAGTCTGGTCAGTGAGAACCAGGGCTGAGGATCTGGAGGCTCCCAGAGACCCCGAGGAAGTGGGGGGGGATGTTAGGTGAGAAAATTTGAGAGTGAGTGAAGCCGGCAGGGCAGGATCAGAAGCGTCTCCACAGCTTGACTGTGCTGCTCTGTGGACCATGAAACCACAGCTTTCTGCAGGCCTCGGGCTGCTGGGAACCTGAGGGTTTGTCCCTTTGAGCCTCACAGCTTTTTCGTCTGTTTTAACCATTTGAAGGTTAAACCGCATGAATGCTTTTCTTAAGGATCCAGAGTTACCAGGACAGGCCTTGGTTAGGGTCCATGAGGTCTTAAAGTGTCATGTCCAGGTTAACACATCAGCAACAGAACCAAGCCTGGGTGAGACAGCTGCAAACACATGAGCACCCCGAAGGCAGCATTAATTAGTGGCAAGGCTGCTATGGGGCAGCCCCCTCCCCCAACAAGGGAACTGGGCAGTCATTCTCTCTTGGCAGTCTCGATTTCTCATCTGTCAAATGGGGACAGTCATTCTGCTCACTTCAAGGGGATGTTGAGAGGATGACTTGTAGAAAGCCATGGAGTGGGTGCCGGGTCAACGTGACTGACATGATCTTGCTCACATAAAAGTCTGTGGAAGATTGAAAGGACCTATAGACAGATGAGTACCCAGTGGTGGGAGACAATGACGGGGACGGCCGTGTTGGAGGGACCACAGCACTGTGGGCTCAGGACCCAGGGCAGAGGTATGTCCCAAACCCTCAGGGGAAGGACTGTGGCCCGGATAGGACAGCCATAGTTGGGGGACCCTGCCTCTTGGGGTTC